TGAGAGCTGGGAAATAAGGCTGAGCGCAGAAGACGACTCTTCAGAGTCCCTTCGACAGCAAAGAGATCAAACCAGTCAATCCTAAAAGAAATCAGCACTGAATATTCATCGGAAGGACTGATGCTGAAGCTAAAGCTCCAATACTCTGGCCACCTGATTCGCAGAGCCAACTCACTGTTTTAAAAAAAAAAAAAACCTGATGCCAGGAAAAGATAGAAGACGAAAAAAGGGTGACAGAGGACAAGACGGTTGGATGGCAGCACAAACTCAATGGACGTGAGTCCGAGCAAACTCCTGGAAATAATGTAGGACAGGGAAGGCAGGCATGTTGCCGTCCATGGGGTCACAAAGATTGGACACGACTGAGCAGACTGAACAACACAAAGAACAACAGTGCTTCCCTAACGGATCAGACTGTAAAGACTGCAATGCAGGAGACCAGGGTTCAATCCCTGGGTAAGGAAGATCCCTGGAGAGGGGAATGGCTACCCATTCCAGTATTCTTGCCTGGGAAATCCCTGGAGACAGAGGAGCCTGGTGGACTGGTTCATGGGGTCACAAAGAGTTGGACATGACTAGCAACTAACAGTACTGCTACTACTACTACTGTCCACTACTAATGGACAATAGTAATAAACAAACAATAGTAAGCTATTATTTTATTTACACAATACCCACAAATATCTGATGATGTAAAGAAAAAAATATGGAAAAATATGTTTTCTGTAAGTAAAGTCAAGGTCTTAGCATCTTCTCCAGATAGGGAAGATCAAGGCTTTCTTTTTTGCTTTTGTGTTTTCAGACTTTTCATGAATTACACATTGTTTTTGTAATACAAAAACAAAACTTCATGGGGAAATTAATTTTTAAAAATTAAGTGGTGTTTTCACTTAATTAAATACTAGTTCTTTTACATATTTAAAAAACTTCATTTTAAAACATGTACAACTAAAAACAGCTTCAAAATATCTTAAACTATGTTTTTAACCTAATAGTGTCCATAATATAATACAGCAACCATCTTTTCCTCAATTACTAATCTCCACAAAGAAATCAATTTTCTATACTAACTTTGAAACGTAAGCACATTTTCAAAATAAAACTCCTTTACTCTAAGTCTACTGGCCATCATTGTTAGCAATAATAAATCCATTGGATAATTACTTTCAAATTTCATTTTAATATTAAGCTAAAGCAAAAAGCAAATTTTGGAAATATGGTACTCTAAAATGTTTCATAGATGATCAATTATATAGTCAAAAGCAGAAATCACAGAGCTTTCAAAATAATTCTATCTTCTAAAGAGAAGAACTGAAAATTCACTCAGCCATCTTAGAGACCACAGATTTCCATGGAATACCATGGAAACTTTCCTCTCCAAGTGCCAGAAACTGAGTGCCTTACTTTCAACTTCTATTTAAAATTATATTCTGCCCACGGCTATGCAAGTTGCAGTGCTATTACAAAGCTTAAAATCATATACATCAGTTAAAAAGCATTTTAATGACTCCAAATGGGCACAAGGCTTTTTGAGGGGGTAACGAAAATGTTCTAAAATGAGACTGTGGTAATGGTTACACAATTCCATAAATATACTATCAATACTATCAGAGAATGTAAATGCTATCTGAAAACTTAAAAAAAAAAAAAAGCATCTTAAATGGCACAGTAGTATAAACCCTATAATGCTGCCCTCCAGATAAAAAATGGCTATAACCAAGTTTGTATATAAAATTACATGCCCATCAAGTGATTAATTACCATATTTCCCATTTTTCCAATCCCTATAGTTACCTAGCTTCAAACAGGAGTTAAGTTTTTATCTCTTTAACAACCATAGATCTACTGTTGTTAAGTAAAAAGAGCAGGACGCAAAACAAAGTATTTGTGTAAATATTTGGGGGAGAAAAAAAATACTCTATTTTAGATTGCATCTTCAGCTTTCCACTGGTTCCAACTAATTTCTGAAATGAAGTTTCAGTTCCAGTAACAACTTTTAATTAGTGTCTACAGAGCACTGCCTCAAGCATGATGATACTGGCCATTAACCCCATGACTTTGAAACTCTTCAACGTCAATTCACACTCACAGCCAAGTGTGTGGTGGGAGGGCAGGGCAAAGAAGGGGGGAAAATGAGGAGGAAAATCAGAACCACCAGTACACTGAAAATCACCACTGAAAGGAAAAAATACACCAAAATGTTAACTGTTATTCTAGCTTTTTCTGATAGTTTCTAAAATCCCTCACTGACCATGTATTACTTTTTAAATTTGAAAACATTACTTAAAATTACTTCCACGTTAAACTAAAGAACCCAAACTCAAAACAGTATTCTCTATGATTCTCTGTTTAGGATATTATGGAAAAGGGAAAACTATGGGGACAGAAACCACCCTAGATTCCAGAGGTAAGGAGAGAGGATGACTACAAAGGGACAAAATGGAAATTTAGGGGATGATGGAATTATTCTATCCCTTTATCCTGTTGGTAGTGATTACACAACTGTTAGCATTTATCAAAGCTTACATAATCATCAAAGATGTTTTTAAAAAGATGCATTTTACTATAGGTAAATTAATCTAAAAAAATTCACGAAGCTACAATTAATAAAGTGCTTGTGTGGTGAGCCAGTTTTTTCCAAGTGGACAGTTTCATGTGATAAAAAATATTACAGACTACTGAACTACTCCAAACATCTTATTTTACACAAACAATATAGGACCAGGGATATTTGGTCAACAGTGCATTGCTAGATAGCATCAAATAAGCTGAAGTATGTAGAGACCTAGAATTCCTGTTTGTTTAAATTCAAATGTAGGGCTCCTTCCACTTCATCATCCTTACTCTTCCAGAGTTCTGAGGACCATAGCTTCCACAAGTGGATTATTGCAGGACATAAAATTCAAAATGTTCAAGTGCTACCTCAGTAGATTCAAATGTGGCTTGGGTCCCTCCCAACCTCTGCCAAAGAACCACCTTACTACACTTTGTTAGCAAAATAGGTGTAATGGACTCAAAAAGTCTAAGAATCAAGCAGATTTTGTAGAGTATGGATAGGTACCATGGATAAACTAGAGTTCCAAAACAAGGACAAAAGCAAAAAAAAAAAAAAAACAAGCAAAACCAAGGTAAGATGGTAAACAATCTTTACTAAAGCTTGCAAACTGACGGTATTATTGAACCTTTTAAATTTTTTACAAAACGTAAACGTTTGGCAAATGAACATAAAATATACTTGCATAAAAAGAAATGGTGTTGTATCATCTATCATCAACATGCTGAAAATAATTTGTTAAAGCAAAATAATCTTTCCTGTGTTTCGATATGCCAGGAAAAAATACATATCTCCACTACACAAGAATTCAACAGCCGAATAGTGAGAATAATGCAAAAATGATGAACCTATCTACCCTTGACAGTAAAGTCTGATAAAGCCCACCCTTTGTGCAGCTTGCCACAACTGTTATCTGCAGTCTTTCAAAGAAGGCAACCATTAGAACAGGTTAATGAAGTTATCTACTCAAATTTTACTCAGGGCTCTTGTATGACAAGAAGTTGTAAACCCAGACTGATAGTGGAACTACTAATTAGGACTCCTTTCCACCAGTCACTGTTTTCACTTTATGTTAACCACCTAAGGAGATTTAAACTTGTAAAAAGCTTAGAGAGATCTTAAGATGCCAACAGTGATTCTCCACTATGCTATAACCACGTGACAGCTAAACCAATTTCACACAGCTAATTAGTAAACTAGAAAAGGGAAACGCTAAAAATAGGAATTACGACCACCAAGTAAGAGAAAGTTCCGTGGGAGATACTAGGTACGCGGAAACTAAACTCAGAATACATTCTGCGTACTCACAATACTACTCCTGTATTAGGAGAAGGCCCTTCATAAAAATAGCCAGGACTCTCAAACATTTGAGATGCTGGCTTAGTGAGATTGACTGACAGACAACAGCTGGGGAGATTTTTGTATTGATCTTGTAACATCGCGGCATTACTTTGGGAGAAAAGGAGAACCGGGAGAAAGGACTGTTATAATGGCAAGACTAAACTTGTAAGGATTTCATTTTCAACTATGTGACCCCCTACACTGGAAGCCCCTAATAAATTCCTCTACTCTCGAATTCCTCTTCCGTTTTCCAGACTCGATCCCACAATAATGCACCTCCTTCTTCCCAAATAAAAAACGTGTGTGTGTGTGTGGGGGGGGGGGGAGGGAATCAACACCCTTCCAAAACACTGGATAACTGGAAAACAAACTAGTTACCTCCGCACCTGTGTTTTCTTAACCCATCTCACATTTTAAACCTTAAAGCCTAGAACTCTCGCCTTTTCTTCCGTAGTAGAGGGGCTAAGGCGCCGCCCAATTTCCCAGGCAAAAAAAAAAAAATTTCTACCCGCCACATTTCAAGGTTTTCTAGTTTTCTCTTCGATCCTAATCTTCAATCCTGCACTCGCTCTCTCTTCAGACAACTGAAGTTTATTAGCCCAAAACCCTAGTACAAAGGTGAATTCCTAAGATTCCGCAAGGCGCCCCCCAAGGGGGTGGGGAGGGGTCGTAGCCGCGGGCCGAGGCAATCTCGCTCGGCCCAGTCCGAGGGGCGGGGGAGTGGCTGTGACCACACAATCCCACCACCTTCTTTTCACGACTCCCCCCACCTCTCGGCGCTCGGGCCTGCTCCCAGGAAGCTCCCTGCGGCCACTCGGCTTCTCCTCACCGGCTCGCGAACGGCCACACTAGCATCCAAGAAAAAGGTTCATAAGTAGGAATACGCAAGAGATGTTCGGCGTGTTGTTTCAAAACATAACGGAGCCCGGGCCCCCGAGACCGTTAAACCGCGGGTGGAGGGGGGAGAAGCGATGAACCCAGTGGCCTCAGGCTTTGTCCTGGCCGCCTTTTTCGACCCCAAACGCCACTATGTTGAACCACCAACCCTCCCCCAAACCGGCCCGAGCCCCCAGAAGCGCCAACAAAGCAGCAAAAGGGTCGGTACCTTGTAGAAAGCCCCGTTGGAGCCGCGAACCTCCACCGTCAGCTCCGCCATGTTGGAACCGCAAAGGCCGCTGGGAAGAGATTCTAGAAACTTTCCAACCAGAAGGGAGGAGGGGGGAGGGGCGTGAAGGAGGCGGGGGAGGGGCGGGGAAAACAGGGCGGGACTAGGATCCCCCGCCCCACACCCCTGGGGTCTCACCGTGCCGCCCCGGCTCTCCCATCGGGATCCCTCCGCTCCTTACATCACTCGCCCCCAGCCCCGCCCGCCGTCGCCAACGCCCCGTTCGCCTACCGACACAATCGCCCGACCTTTGCTGACCCGCCCTACGTCTCCGCCCCTAAGGGCCGGGTGCGTGCCCGCCCCAGCCGGTCGGGCCCTCCTGCTGCCCGGGAGTGAACTGCCCCGGCACCGCTTACCCCACGCGTCTGCGTTCCGCCAGGCTCGGCACCTTGCCCTGAAACTTCCTTGAGGTGCTGCAAGCCCTGGAGTAGCTTCCTTATCTGGTGAAAAGCAACTCTGGTGGCTTCAGTTGCACACCGGCACAAACTTCAGGGGAAAGAGGGAACCTAAAAATGTACATACTATGTGCCGTAAATTCTGTAGCCTCGCTTTCTTAAAAAAAAAAAAAAAATTATATTGGTGGCTCCCTCCTGACTCCCAATCCCTCAGTTACACACCTCCTCACAGTTCAGTCCAGCCCTCTCCCCACCTGTTACCACTTCCAGTTCAGTTCAGTCGCTCATGTCCAACTCTACGACCCCATGGACTGCAGCACACCAGGCTTCTGTCTCCGTCACCAACCAGTTCCGCTGTTTAAAAAGTTAAACTAAGTATTTCCAGTTCAATTTAGATGTATTCATAACCCAGGAGGTAATACCATTGTTAGAAGTAATCATGAAAACAATACAGCTGAAGGCGTAGGAATGTCCACACACAGGATCAAAGCAGAACCGATTTGTATGGCTTTTCTACCAGAACCTACACCAATACCATTAAGTGTTATAATGGAGATACTCCGAATATCTAACAATACTGAAATTTTTTCCGAAAGCAAGGCCTTTGGAAATAGTACTGGAAGTATTCTTTACTGTGTGTTGTATTACCATTTTGACAGAAAAACCCCAGAAAAGGATGCTTTGCTGGCACACTACACTCTTAAGGAAATGCCCAGGGGCCTAGCCCTGGCGTTTGTGAGCAAGGGGGTCCTTTAAAATGTACGTAAAATTCCATCTGCGTTTCGAAGTGATCCATATTGCTATGGATGGAATGTTCCTTTTAAAATGCTCATCATTGTGAGGAAAACACAAGCACACTACATCAATGAGTAACAGCCACCGTTTATTAAGGGCTTCATGTGTGTCTGACACTTCATATAATCATCTTGCTATGATCCTTCAGAATTAAAATACTGTAGTTTGCTTTTTTTCCCCACAGCTGTATTGAGGTATAATTCACATACCGTACAATTCATCCATTTAAGGTGTACAACTCAATGGTTTTTTTAATGCATTTACAGAGTTGTGAAATCATCTCCACAATCAATTTTAGAACATTTTTACTATCCCCCCCAAAACCCTGTATCTGTTGACATTCCTGATTTAACCCTATGGTAGCCATGCGTTCCAGGAAACAAACTCACTCAGGACAATGCAGATAGTGGAGGGCAGTTTATTACACCGGCAGGCCCAAAGCAGAGTCTCCTCTTAGCCAAGGACCCCAACCAGTCTTTGTGAAAACCTTGTATACCCTAAGTGTATAAGGTTCCCTGAAACTAGTCAGGAAAAAGAAAGATACAGTCAAAGTTAACCGGTGATTCATATGCCTTCAGCCTAGGTAGTTAACAGTGGACAATTATCAATAGGCTTGTGGTCATACCCCAATAACCATAATAGAATGTATAATTCTATTTGGTTACACAGATAATTAGGGTATTCTTTTAGGTATGGAGAGCCCTGAAGCACTTCCTTCTGGGGGCCTGGTTTTCCAGTTGGTAGGTCGTTTCTGCAGATACTGGGCATATAGCTCAAAGTCTGGCCCAAGATGGAGTCCTGCTTTCAAGATAGAGCCTGTTCTGTGTGCTCCTTCAATCCCAATCCCCAAAACCCTAAGCAACCACTAATCTATTTTCTTTCTTTCTTTCTTCCTTCTTCTTTCCTTGGCCTTCACATTTGTTCCTGAATGTCAGTCACTTTGGGTAGGGCTATGAAAGTTCCATTTGGACTAAGGTCAAGTTATTTGAACATTGAAGAATAAAGATTGTTCCTCTTCAGGCCTTGTATGCTAAAAACATTTTGAGTTTGAACACCCCCAACCCATCTCCATTAACTCCTGCTTTTAATAGACAGAACTTATAACTTCCATTAAACAACAGAGATTTATAGCAATCAGTTATATATCTAAGATCACATAAGTTCTAAATTAGCAGAACTGGAATTTAAGTCCCACCTCTTTCCATTTCCAAAGCTCACATCATGATCCAGTTTGTTGTTGGCATGTATGGGAGACTTGGGTTCGATCCCTGGGTTGGGAAGATCCCCTGGAGGAGAACATGGCAACCCACTCTGGTATTCTTGCCTGGAGACTCCCCATGGGCAGAGGAGCCTGGCGGGCTTCGGTCCATGGTGTTGCGGTGTCAGACATGACTGAGCGACAAAGCATAGCACAGCACATATACAAATATCTATCAGTTCAGTTCAGTCGCTCAGTCATGTCCGACTCTTTGCAACCCCGTGAACCTCAGCACGCCAGGCCTCCCTGTCCATCACCAACTCCCAGAGTCCACCCAAACCCAAGTCCATTGAGTCAGTGATAGCATCCAACCATCTCATCCTCTGTCGTTCCCTTCTTCTCCTGCCTTCAATCTTTCCCAGTATCATGGTCTTTTCAAATGGGTCAGCTCTTTGCATCAGGTGGCCAAAGTACTGGAGTTTCAGCTTCAACCTCAGTCCTTCCAATGAATATTCAGGACTGATTTCCCTTAGGATGGACTGGTTGGATCTCCTTGCAGTCCAAGGGACTCTCAAGAGTCTTCTCCAACACCACAGTTCAAAGGCATCAATTCTTCGGCACTCAGCTTTCTTTATAGTCAAACTCTCACATCCATACATGACCACTGGAAAAACCATAGCCCTGACTAGACAGACCTTTATTGACAAAGTAACGTCTCTGCTTTTCAATATGCTGTCTAGGTTGGTCATAACTTTCCTTCCAAGGAGTAAGCATCTTTTAATTTCATGGCTGCAATCACCATCTAAAGTGATTTTGGAGCCCAGAAAAATAAAGTCAGCCACTGTGTCCACTGTTTCCCCATCTATTTGCCATGAAGTGATGGGACCAGATGCCATGATCTTAGTTTTCTGAATGTTGAGCTTTAAGCCAACTTTTTCACTTTCCTCTTTCAATTTCATCAAGAAGCTCTTTAGTTCTTCTTCACTTTCTGCCATAACGGTGATGTCATCTGCATATCTGAGGTTATTGATATTTCTCCCAGCAATCTTGATTCCAGCTTGTGCTTCCTCCAGCCCAGCATTTCTCATGATGTACTCTGCCTACAAGTTAAATAAGCAGGGTGACAATATATAGCCTTTATGTACTCCTTTTCCTAATGGGAACCAGTCTGTTGGTCCATGTCCAGTTCTAACTGTTGCTTCCTGACCTGCATACAGGTTTCTGAATAGGCAGGTCAGGTTGTCTGGTATTCCCATCTCTTTCAGAATTTTCCACAGTTTATTGTGATCCACACAGTCAAAAGCTTTGGCATAGTCAATAAAGCAGAAATAGATGTTTTTCTGGAACTCTCTTGCTTTTTCGATGATCAGTGAATGTTGGCAATTTGATCTCTGGTTTCTGTGCCTTTTCTAAAACCAGCCTGAACATCTGGTAGCTCACGGTTCATGTATTGCTGAAGCCTGGCTTGGAGAATTTTGAGCATTAGTTTACTAGTGTGTGAGATGAGGGCAATTTTGCGGTAGTTTGAGCATTCTTTGGCATTGCCTTTCTTAGAGATTGGAATGAAAACTGACCTTTTCCAGTCCTGTATACATATATATATATATATATATAATACAACCATATACACATATCTGGTTTAGAAGTTGATATTCATTGTTGCATATTTTCAGAAGAGGACTTATTGTTGGACATGAATTTTGCAGTTTTTGTTTTCTTTTGCATTGTCTGAACTTTTTTGAATGAGCGTGTCACTTGATTCTCAGAAAAAAAAAGTATTTTCACTTTTTAAATACTATATCATGAATATTCCACAACCATTAGAGATAAAATTTTAGAGGAATATTAATGATATGAGTAAATGTCTACAATGTAACTATGAAAAGAAGACTGTCAAATACTGTATATGGAGTCAATTTTGTACAGAAAATATATACATATACTGCATAAAAATATATAGATGTTTACCAAAATGTTAGCAGTGGTATCTTCAGGCAGTTGCATTATAAATGATCATTTTTCTTCATGTTTTCTACGTTTTACAAGTTTTCTATATTGAAAAGTGGTACTATTTCTAACTTTTAAAAATATAAATTAAATAGGAAAATGTTCTTCAAAAATATAATTAAATACACACATAATGAAACTTTGTATACACAGCTACTGTAACACTAAGAACTTAAGATTTTGATCAATTTTGTGGCACTGTATTTAGTTTGAGTTGTCCATGAAATGTGATAAGAAAACATGCTTTCATTATTTAACATCTTCTAAAAGTAGTTCATTTGAAGATAATTTTAACTTGACTAAATTGAGACTATAGGAGTTTTTCTTCCTTGAGATATAGATATCTAGAGGGTCTAAAATATTAATATTTTAACCAACAGTTTCCGGAACAAATTGTGCCCTATTTTATAAATAGCTAATGAAAGACTCAGGAATCATAATCTAAAATGTTTTAACTTTTTTCCCATAGGCATCTTTGATTTTTTAAAATCACAATATACTAATATACATTGAGTATAAGAATTAATATTTTAAAAATTACGTTAAACCAAACTGTTGAGTTTAGCTCTCTTGATATTGTGATGAGTCTATATGAT